GGATCTAATGAGGACTGGTGGTTCGTGATTTTGTACGTGTCTGTAATTCGTTCCTGTGTACGTAATTTATTTGTGATTTGCAAATTCGCTGTAGGTTTTGTATCTCTCTGAAGTTTAAATATTTTATTAATATTTTTTTATTAATTATTATTTAATAAGTATCGACTGGGGATGGGTCACTAAGGTTGTAATTAACGTGTACATTAACGTAAAACTAGACTTTAATGCCTAAAACAGTGACTGAAATAAATATTATAGTATATTATTATTATTATTATTATTATTATTATTGGTGGTGGTGTAAATATTTTCGTAATGGTAACGCAACTAATAATGGTAACGCAACTAATAATGGTAACGCAACTAATAATGGCTTTGGTTCAGACTGACTGAACCAAAGCTATTATTAGTTGCTTCAGGTGTCACACCTATTGTGTGGGTGAACAGTGAGCGGGATGTGGGCAAGCGTCACACTACGCCCACACCCCCGCCCATTTACAAGACTGCCTATCCCTTCCTCTCGCCCACACCCACCACCATCTTTCTTGCTGCTTCTACACGTTATTCTACGATTGTCAACACTTCACTTCATTGGTAACCCTTCATTATTTCTCACCTTCATTATTTCTCACCTTCATTATTTTTCATCTTCTTTCATTGTCACTTCTGCCATCATCTTCCATTGTCACTCCTGCCATATTCTTTCATTGTCACTCCTGCCATATTCTTTCATTGTCACTCCTGCCATATTCTTTCATTGTCACTCCTGCCATCATTCATTGTCTCTCCTGCCATCATATTTCATTGTCACTCCTGCCATATTCTTTCATTGTCACTCCTGCCATCATTCATTGTCTCTCCTGTCATCTTTCATTCTCTGCCCTGTCATCTTTCATTTTCTGTCCTGTCATCTTTCATTCTCTGTCCTGTCTTCATCTTTCATTCTATCCTTCCCTCACCTTTCGTTGTTAGCTAAAAAGTCTGTGAGAGTGGATGTTCTCCCACGGTACCTGGGGAAGGTGGAGGTCAGATAAACAGACAATGCTCATCCTACATGTAGTTCCACATGTACTGCTCGGTCAGCTGTTCCCTGCTGTTCTTGTGTAACTCTGCTTATCACTTAGGGAAGCTCCAATGCGCTGGTACATTCAGATTGACCAGTTGAGAGCCTGTTTGTAAAGTCTGCTAAGTTTATCCTGAGGAGCACAGCCTACACCACGTGTTTTGGGCTGGGCTTACTCTTGGCAACTCAGCTTTGCTGCTATCTTTACAAAAAGGGAAAAAGGGAAAAGTCCTTTGTCGTTTAAAGGTTTCTGGTGCCTTTGGCGTTCTGATGTGGACCCCTTCTCCTGGATTGTGGCTTGAATGTGTCTGTGGTCAGAGAGGTTGGCTTCTCTCTCTGCCTTCCTTGGATGGTGTCACAGGTTCGTATATGTAGTCACTGGCAGGGGACATCCTGTGTCATGCCCTGGTGATGACCTAAGCTAATATCTTGGAGCATGATTCGGTTCATGTTTAAAGAATAAAGGTTTTACTAATTATTCTAAGAGCGAGGGTGGTGGTGGCTTTGTTGTGACTGCTGGAGAGGACTCTTGTGTGCAGTTACAAGGCGGGATATCTAGGCGAGTGCAAATAGGAAGCGCGTCTTGTCTGGCGTTCAGCAGACGGAGGCTCAAGCCTCCACCACGTCTTGCGCTGAATGATCCACATGGATTTAGCGCTTAACATGAATGATTCTTATTTAACGAAGAGAGGCGTCTGTGTACACTGTGGAGCCCCACGTAATTCTTGCTGCTCTTGTCCTGATAGCTGGCATAGTTGGTTGAATTTTGTACTCAACTTCCCAGTGCTGTCTACCCTGGCTTAGTATGCTTCAGCCCAGCCTGTGGTCTAAAGAATTCAGGAGCAGTTAGCACATCTCCACGTGTGGCGTGAGCATGTGGAGTACTCTGATGTCTGGATTACTTTGGTGTTCTGGGAAATGCACAGGCGGGTACCGAGGCAAAGACTGCTGTAGTGAGCTCTCTAAAGTAGACCTTTGCCGTACAAAAACGTCATGTGTCATATCCACAGACATGTCCTTGGGAAGTGACGAGCCTAGTGGGCCCTGAAGACTAGGAACAGATTTGTGGTGCCTGCAGAGACCTCGGGAAACTTTAGGAGAGAGAGTTTTGACATTAACAATTGAATGTGATTTATAAGAAGTTGGTTATTTGGACTTAATATATTTATTTGTATTGAGTGTTTGTTGCTTTTTAATGTTATTCTTGTTTTCATTTTGCCATGACTGTGAGCACGGACTTAGGTGGTCAGAGTGCTCTGAAAATATCACTACTGCTACAGCCCCGCTCCCCCTCACCTCCACTTCCCCCTCACCTCCATTTCCACCCTCGCCTCCATTTCCACCCTCACCTCTTCCTCTCACCTCCACTTCCCCCTCACCTCCACTTCCCCCTCACTCACACTTTCCCTCACCTCCACTTCTCCTCACACTTCCCCTTCACCTCCACTTCCCCTCACACTTTCCCCTCACCTCCACTTCCCCTCACTCCCACTTCCCCTCACCCCCACTTCCCCTCACTCCCACTTCCCCTCACTCCCACTTCCCGAGACGTCAACAATTTGCCTCTGGCCTACAAGAGTGTATAAGGCGGCCATTTTGAACTCTTCCACAAACTTTCCTGGAAACCTTGTGCTCCTTTTTTTACCCCTTGTGATGCTCTTTTAAGGGTAATAGTTTGACCAAGTTGTGAGTGGTGGCGAACCGCATGTCACGAGGAAGGGAGGGAGGGAGAGGTGAGAAACGGAGAGAAGTGGGGAAAGAAGTGGGAAAGGAGGTAGGAGAGTTAGGGGAGAGGGAGAGATGAGGGAGAGAGGGAGATTTAATGACAAGGAAGGGTGAAGTTTACGTTTCAAACTACTGATGTTGCTACTGCTGCTGCTGCTACTGTTGTTGTTACTTCTGCTGTTGTTACTACTGTTTTTGTTGTTACTGTTAGCACTAATAAATTTTCTGTTTAATACTAGTCAGTCAGTTTCAGTCGAAGGTGTTATAACGTTACATCTTCCATTACTGCTAACATCTTACATATTCTTACATTCTCTTGTGTCACTTCTTACATCCTCTCCTTACATCTTCTCTTAATTCTTGGTAATAAAACTCAACATTAACCTTTAAGGATCATTCTTGTTTACCAGTGTTAACATTAGTCCTGATCCTGGTGACCAGTGTGTGTGATCCTTGGATCGTTCTTGTTTACCAGTGTTAACACTAGTCCTGATCCTGGTGACCAGTGTGTGTGATCCTTGGATCATTCTTGTTTACCAGTGTTAACATTAGTCCTGATCTTGGTGACCAGTGTGTGTGATCGTTGGGTCATTCTTGTTTACCAGTGTTAACACTAGTCCTGATCCTGGTGACCAGTGTGTGTGATCCTTGGATCATTCTTGTTTACCAGTGTTAACACTAGTCCTGATCCTGGTGACCAGTGTGTGTGATCCTTGGATCATTCTTGTTTACCAGTGTTAACACTAGTCCTGATCCTGGTGACCAGTGTGTGTGATCCTTGGATCATTCTTGTTTACCAGTGTTAACACTAGTCCTGATCCTGGTGACCAGTGTGTGTGATCCTTGGATCATTCTTGTTTACCAGTGTTAACACTAGTCCTGATCCTGGTGACCAGTGTGTGTGATCCTTGGATCATTCTTGTTTACCAGTGTTAACACTAGTCCTGATCCTGGTGACCAGTGTGTGTGATCCTCGGGGTGTTCTGTCATGTTAATAGTGTAATATACCAACAGACTGATCAGTAAGTCACCTGTAATACTTGGGTATCTTTGTTGTATTTGACTGAGGAAGTGTGTTGTGTGGGCGAAATGTCTTGTTAGTAAAGTTACGTAAATATTGCACATGTCACCTCACTTGGAATGTTGTAATGTGTTTCAGTCTTTTTACCCGAGAGAGAGAGAGAGAGAGAGAGAGAGAGAGAGAGGAGAGAGAGAGAGAGACGAGAGAGAGAGAGAGAGAGAGAGAGAGAGAGGGTGAGAAAAGGAGGGAGGGAAGATAGGGAGCGAGATAGAAACAGACTAAATGTTAGGGTAGAGACAGCTGTAAAAGATGTGCTGTAATGGCTGAAAGTGTCAAGGTTTATTCTCCAGGGAAAGACGGAAAAAGTGATTCTTTAAACATTACCTTGAAATTCATTTATACACACACCACACCACACACACCACACCACACACACACACACACACACAACACACACACACACACACACACACACAGGACAAAATGGTAACTAACACACACACACACACACACACAATACTGAGAGGAATTGACAAGGTGGACAAAGACAGGATGTTCCAGAGACTGGACACAGCAACAAGGGGACACAGTTGGAAGCTGAAAACACAGATGAATCAAAGGGATGTTAGGAAGTATTTCTTCAGCCACAGAGTAGTCAGGAAGTGGAATAGTTTGGGAAGCGATGTAGTGGAGGCGGGATCATACATAGCTTTAAGCAGAGGTACGATAAAGCTCATGGTTCAGGGAGAGTGACCTAGTAGCGACCAGTGAAGAGGCGGGGCCAGGAGCTTGGACTCGACCCTGCAACCTCAACTAGGTGAGTACAACTAGGTGAGTATACACACACACTAAATCCCAGAAACTTGCTGTTTTGCTGTTGTTTACAAACTTGTTTACGAATCCTCAACCACTTGGCAAACAGCTGACTGTTGTTTACAAATACAACTACAAGGCTGTCAGCTGATTTTTATGATGTATATAAATCCACTCTCACGTGGCAAATATCTGTTTTTTGTGTACAGACAAACTATGTAGCCCACAGCTGATTTGTGCTTACAATCACGTTTAGAAATCAGAACCACGTGACAAACACTTGGTCTTTGTTTACAAACACAACCTGGTTGACAGATAGCTTATTTTTATTTACAGAAACACGTCACAAACAGCTGATTTTTGTTTTCTCGTTTTCAGATGATTAAGGCGATCCAGGTATTGCGCATCCACCTGCTGGAGTTGGAAAAGGTGCAAGAGCTGTGCAAGGACTTCTGCAACCGCTACATCACCTGCCTGAAGGGCAAGATGCAGAGTGAGAACCTGCTACGTACAGAGTATGGCTACGACTCCCCCGGTTCTCCTGATGGAGGCAGTCCTTACAACGGTCACCACCAGCTCCACATGGCACACCCCCATCCACAGGTTAGGTCATCAGCACCTTGGTTCCTGCTACTCTCTCTCTCTCTCTCTCTCTCTCTCTCTCTCTCTCTCTCTCTCTCAACCGCAGTTTTAATGTGGACTCACAACCCACACATGACTCACAACTTACAAACATAACCCCCACACAACGCACTCATGGGCCACAAACAAGCAACAACCGTCTACAAACAAGGCAGTAAGGAAGCCCCCGAGGCAGGACTGGGCACCAGAGTAACAAGGCAGTAAGGAAGCCCCCGAGGCAGGACTGGGCACCAGAGTAACAAGGCAGTAAGGAAGCCCCCGAGGCAGGACTGGGCGCCACAGTAACAAGGCAGTAAGGAAGCCCCGGAGGCAGGACTGGGCACCAGAGTAAAAGGCAGTAAGGAGAAGCCCCCGAGGCAGGACTGGGCACCAGAGTAACAAGGCAGTAAGGAAGCCCCCGAGGCAGGACTGGGCACCACAGTAACAAGGCAGTAAGGAAGCCCCCGAGGCAGGACTGGGCACCAGAGTAACAAGGCAGTAAGGAAGCCCCCGAGGCAGGACTGGGCACCAGAGTAACAAGGCAGTAAGGAAGCCCCGAGGCAGGACTGGGCACCACAGTAACAAGGCAGTAAGGAAGCCCCGAGGCAGGACTGGGCACCAGAGTAACAAGGCAGTAAGGAAGCCCCCGAGGCAGGACTGGGCACCAGAGTAACAAGGCAGTAAGGAAGCCCCCGAGGCAGGACTGGGCACCAGAGTAACAAGGCAGTAAGGAAGCTCCCGAGGCAGGACTGGGCACCACAGTAACAAGGCAGTAAGGAAGCCCCCGAGGCAGGACTGGGCACCACAGTAACAAGGCAGTAAGGAAGCCCCCGAGGCAGGACTGGGCACCACAGTAACAAGGCAGTAAGGAAGCCCCGAGGCAGGACTGGGCACCACAGTAACAAGGCAGTAAGGAAGCCCCCGAGGCAGGACTGGGCACCACAGTAACAAGGCAGTAAGGAAGCCCCCGAGGCAGGACTGGGCACCACAGTAACAAGGCAGTAAGGAAGCCCCCGAGGCAGGACTGGGCACCACAGTAACAAGGCAGTAAGGAAGCCCCGAGGCAGGACTGGGCACCACAGTAACAAGGCAGTAAGGAAGCCCCCGAGGCAGGACTGGGCACCACAGTAACAAGGCAGTAAGGAAGCCCCCGAGGCAGGACTGGGCACCACAGTAACAAGGCAGTAAGGAAGCCCCCGAGGCAGGACTGGGCACCACAGTAACAAGGCAGTAAGGAAGCCCCCGAGGCAGGACTGGGCACCACAGTAACAAGGCAGTAAGGAAGCCCCCGAGGCAGGACTGGGCACCACAGTAACAAGGCAGTAAGGAAGCCCCGAGGCAGGACTGGGCACCACAGTAACAAGGCAGTAAGGAAGCCCCCGAGGCAGGACTGGGCACCACAGTAACAAGGCAGTAAGGAAGCCCCGAGGCAGGACTGGGCACCACAGTAACAAGGCAGTAAGGAAGCCCCCGAGGCAGGACTGGGCACCACAGTAACAAGGCAGTAAGGAAGCCCCGAGGCAGGACTGGGCACACAGTAAAAGGCAGTAAGGAAGCCCCCGAGGCAGGACTGGGCACCACAGTAACAAGGCAGTAAGGAAGCCCCGAGGCAGGACTGGGCACCACAGTAACAAGGCAGTAAGGAAGCCCCGAGGCAGGACTGGGCACCACAGTAACAAGGCAGTAAGGAAGCCTCCGAGGCAGGACTGGGCACCACAGTAACAAGGCAGTAAGGAAGCCCCCGAGGCAGGACTGGGCACCACAGTAACAAGGCAGTAAGGAAGCCCCGAGGCAGGACTGGGCACCACAGTAACAAGGCAGTAAGGAAGCCCCCGAGGCAGGACTGGGCACCACAGTAACAAGGCAGTAAGGAAGCCCCCGAGGCAGGACTGGGCACCACAGTAACAAGGCAGTAAGGAAGCCCCCGAGGCAGGACTGGGCACCACAGTAACAAGGCAGTAAGGAAGCCTCCGAGGCAGGACTGGGCACCACAGTAACAAGGCAGTAAGGAAGCCCCGAGGCAGGACTGGGCACCACAGTAACAAGGCAGTAAGGAAGCCCCGAGGCAGGACTGGGCACCACAGTAACAAGGCAGTAAGGAAGCCTCCGAGGCAGGACTGGGCACCACAGTAACAAGGCAGTAAGGAAGCCCCCGAGGCAGGACTGGGCACCACAGTAACAAGGCAGTAAGGAAGCCTCCGAGGCAGGACTGGGCACCACAGTAACAAGGCAGTAAGGAAGCCCCGAGGCAGGACTGGGCACCACAGTAACAAGGCAGTAAGGAAGCCCCGAGGCAGGACTGGGCACCACAGTAACAAGGCAGTAAGGAAGCCTCCGAGGCAGGACTGGGCACCACAGTAACAAGGCAGTAAGGAAGCCCCCGAGGCAGGACTGGGCACCACAGTAACAAGGCAGTAAGGAAGCCCCGAGGCAGGACTGGGCACCACAGTAACAAGGCAGTAAGGAAGCCCGAGGCAGGACTGGGCACCACAGTAACAAGGCAGTAAGGAAGCCTCCGAGGCAGGACTGGGCACCACAGTAACAAGGCAGTAAGGAAGCCCCCCAGGCAGGACTGGGCACCACGTAACAGGCAGTAAGGAGCCTCCGAGGCAGGACTGGGCACCACAGTAACAAGGCAGTAAGGAAGCCCCCGAGGCAGGACTGGGCACCACAGTAACAAGGCAGTAAGGAAGCCCCCGAGGCAGGACTGGGCACCACAGTAACAAGGCAGTAAGGAAGCCCCGAGGCAGGACTGGGCACCACAGTAACAGGCAGTAAGGAAGCCCCCGAGGCAGGACTGGGCACCACAGTAACAAGGCAGTAAGGAAGCCCCCGAGGCAGGACTGGGCACCACAGTAACAAGGCAGTAAGGAAGCCCCCGAGGCAGGACTGGGCACCACAGTAACAAGGCAGTAAGGAAGCCCCCGAGGCAGGACTGGGCACCACAGTAACAAGGCTTCATATCCTCTCTATCTTTTTTTTCAAGTACAGAAATTGAAATCCTTGATAGATGGTCTCAGGCACCGAAGACCAGACCGTCTGCAACCTAGTTCCTCCTGTTGAACTTACCCTCCCCCTGTTGAACTTACCTTCCTCCTGTTGAACTTACCCTCCCCCATGTTGAACTTACCCTCCCCCATGTTGAACTTACCCTCCCCCTGTTGAACTTACCCTTCCACTATTGAACTTAGCCTTCCACTGTTGAACTTACCTTCCTCCTGTTGAACTTACCCTCCCCCATGTTGAACTTGCCCACCCCCTGTTGAACTTACCCTCCCCCTGTTGAACGTACCCTCGCCATGTTGAACTTACCATTCCCCTGTTGAACTTACCCTCCCTCTGTTGAACTTATCCTCCCCCTGTTGAACTTCCCCTTCCCCTGTTGAACTTACTCTCCACCTGTTGAACTTACCCTCCCCCTGTTGAACTTACCCTTCCCCTGTTGAACTTACCTCCACCTGTTGAACTTACCCTCCACCTGCTGAACTTACCCTCCCCCTGTTGAACTTACCCTCCACCTGTTGAACTTACCCTCTCCCTGTTGAACTTACCCTCCACCTGTTGAACTTACCCTCCACCTGTTGAACTTACCCTCCACCTGGTGAACTTATCCTCCCCTGTTGAACTTACCCTCCCCTGTTGAACTTACCCTCCCCTGTTGAACTTACCCTCCCCTGTTGAACTTACCCTCCACCTGTTGAACTTACCCTCCACCTGTTGAACTTACCTCCCCCTGTTGAACTTACCTCCCCTGTTGAACTTTACCCTCCCCCTGTTGAACTTACCCTCCCCCTGTTGAACTTACCCTCCACCTGTTGAACTTACCCTCCACCTGTTGAACTTACCCTCCCCCTGTTGAACTTACCCTCCCCCTGTTGAACTTACCCTCCCCTGTTGAACTTACCCTCCCCTGTTGAAATTACCCTCCACCTGTTGAACTTACCCTCCACCTGTTGAACTTACCCTCCACCTGTTGAACTTACCCTCCACCTGTTGAACTTACCCTCCCCTGTTGAACTTACCCTCCACCTGTTGAACTTACCCTCCCCTGTTGAACTTACCCTCCACCTGTTGAACTTACCCTCCCCCTGTTGAACTTACCCTCCACCTGTTGAACTTACCCTCCCCTGTTGAACTTACCCTCCACCTGTTGAACTTACCCTCCCCTGTTGAACTTACCCTCCACCTGTTGAACTTACCCTCCCCTGTTGAACTTACCCTCCACCTGTTGAACTTACCCTCCCCTGTTGAACTTACCCTCCACCTGTTGAACTTACCCTCCACCTGTTGAACTTACCCTCCACCTGTTGAACTTACCCTCCACCTGTTGAACTTACCCTCCACCTGTTGAACTTACCCTCCCCTGTTGAACTTACCCTCCCCTGTTGAACTTACCCTCCCCTGTTGAACTTACCCTCCACCTGTTGAACTTACCCTCCACCTGTTGAATTACCCTCCACCTGTTGAACTTACCCTCCACCTGTTGAACTTACCCTCCACCTGTTGAACTTACGCTCCACCTGTTGAACTTACCCTCCACCTGTTGAACTTACCCTCCCCCTGTTGAACTTACCCTCCACCTGTTAAACTTACCCTCCCCTGTTGAACTTACCCTCCCCCTGCTGAACTTACCCTCCACCTGCTGAACTTACCCTCCCCCTGTTGAACTTACCCTCCACCTGTTGAACTTACCCTCCACCTGTTGAACTTACCCTCCACCTGTTGAACTTACCCTCCACCTGTTGAACTTACCCTCCATCTGTTGAACTTACCCTCCACCAGTTGAACTTACCCTCCCCCTGTTGAACTAAATTTCAGATTTACTTCTGTTCAGTCACTTTTTCTGACTCAACTAGCCTCCCTCTGTTGAACTAGCCTTCTGTTAAACAAGCTTTTTGACCATTGAACTACTGTTAAACTAGTATTCTTCAGATGAACTAACCTCCCTCTGTTGAACTAGCCTCTTCTGTTGAACTAGCCTC